TGGTTCTGTAGCTGTTGCGTCATCTGTGGTTCACCAGGATGATTTGAACAGGTTATGGCATATGAGACTTGGACACATGGGTGAAAGAGGGCTGCAAATTCTGTCAAAGGAAGATCTTCTTGGTGGTCACAAGATCAAAAGCCTTGAGTTTTGTGAGCATTGTGTTTTTGGAAAGCTACACCGCAGCAAGTTTCCAAAGGCAGTTCACCGAACAAAGGGAACACTGGATTACATCCATTCAGACTGTTGGGGTCCGTCTCGCGTTGAGTCTTTGGGCGGTCACAGATTTTTTATGTCGGTAATCGATGATTACTCAAGGATGACTTGGGTAATCATGATGAAGCATAAAAGTGAAGCGTTCAAGAACTTCAGGCAGTGGAAGACGCTAATGGAGAATCAAACTGGGAAGAAGATCAAGAGGCTGCGAACTGATAATGGTCTAGAATTCTGCTCATCTGAGTTCGATGTGTTTTGCAAGGATGAGGGAATTGCTCGACACCGCACAGTCAGGGATACACCACAACAGAATGGTGTAGCGGAGCGCATGAATCAGACACTTCTAGAGAGAGCGAGGTGCATGCTCTCTAACGCTGGTCTAACTAGACGTTTCTGGGCAGAAGTAGTTACAACAGCATGTTACATAACAAACTGGGGACCACACACAGGCATCGACTGTAAAACACCTTATAAGGTGTGGACAGGGAAGCCTGCTGATTACTCAAATCTGAGAGTTTTTGGCTGTACAGCTTACTATCATGTCAATGAAGGTAAGCTAGAGCCAAGGGCTAAAAAGGGAATATTCATGGGCTATGGAGAAGGGGTGAAGGGATATAGAATCTGGTCTCCATCTGAGAATAGGGTTATACTTAGTAGGAGTGTAATTTTTGATGAGAGTTCTATGTTCAACCCTATGGTGAAGTCCATTATTGTAGCAGGGAATGAAGTTGTTGATGGACATATGGAGGTGCAAGTTACTCAAGGGGAGAGCGAAGCACAGAAGTTGGTCGGTAATCAATTACTACAACCAGAAACTAATCTGCCAGAATCTACACCACCAGAAAATCAAACATCTGAAGGTTTTCAGCACAGCATTGCGTTTGACCGACCAAGAAGGGTTGGAGTTGGACCTCCAAAGAGGTATGGGTTTGATGATATGGTGGGCTATGCATTGCAAGTTGCTGAGGAAGTGGAGCTTCATGAGCCGTCCACCTACAAGGAAGCAATTTCAGGAACTGAGTCAGCACACTGGTTGGCTGCAATGGGGGACGAGATGGAGTCTCTTCACAAGAATCAGACCTGGGAGTTGGTCAAATTGCCGACAGAGAGAAAGATAATCACTTGCAAATGGGTT